CTGAAAAGCAAACACATCTCCTTGAATACTAAGATGTGCTTAATTCAAGCCATGGTATTTTCAATTGCCTCATATGCATGTGAGAGCTGGACAATGAATAAGGAAGAGTGAAGAAGAGTTGATGCTTTTGAGTTGCGGTGTTGGTGAAGAATGCTGAAGTACTGTGGACTGCTAAAAGAACTAACAGATCTGTCTTAGAACAAGTGCAGCTGGAATGCTCCTTGGAAGCAAAAATGGCCAGACTTTGTCTCACCTGCTTTGGTCATGTTGTCAGAAGGGACTATTCTCTGGAGAAGGATGTCATGCTTGGTAAGGTGGAGGGTCAGTGAAAGAGGAGAAGGTCTTCAACAAGACGGATTGACAAGGTATCTGCAGTGATGGGGTTCAGGTATAGTAAGGATCATTGGGAAAGTCAACTGCGAAGGAACTGTTTCAAGTGCTGAGGAGCAAGGATATCTCCTTGAGGACTAAGGTGCGCCTTACACAAGCCATGATATTTCCAATCACCTTGTATGCATGTGAGAGCTGGACAATGAATAGGGAAGACCGAAGAAGAGTTGATGCTTTTGAGTTGTGGTGCTGGCGAAGAATGCTGAAAGTACCATGGACTGCTAAAAGAACTAACAGATCTGTCCTGGAGGAAGTGCAGCCAGAATGCTCCTTGGAAGCAAGAATGGCCAGACTTCGTCTCACCTATTTTGGTCATGTTGTAAGAAGGGACCATTCCCTGGAGAAGGATGTCATGCTTGGTAGGGTGGAGGGTCGACGAAAGAGGGGGAGGCCTTCAACGAGATGGATTGATACAGTGGCTGCGATGATGGGCTCGAGTATAGCAGGGATTGTGGGGCTGGTGCGGGATCGGGCAGTGTTTCGTTCTGCTGTGCATGGGGTCGCTATGAGTCGGAAACGACTCGACGGCACTTAACAACAACAACAACAAGGATCATGAGGGTGGCACAGGACAGGACAGTGCTTCGTTCTGGCATACATATGTTCACTATGAGTCGGAGCCAACTCGACAGCACATAACAATAAAACAACAATAATAAAATCTTATGTAAGTTTGCCATCACTTTGAGATGATTGCACCAACCCCTACTCAAAACAAATTCTTCATCACAATCATCTTCATTTGCTTCATGTACAGCTTTTAAATCATTGAAAAGGCTTTGAGCCTTTCTTGCACTAAAGGCTAAATAAGAACTCTAGGCACCCTATTCAGACTTATCTACAAATTCGACTTAAAGACATGCATAGGCACTGATCTTGTTCATAACCCGGGGACTGCCTGTAATTCATTTGGCATGTCCTTGCTTGGCTTGGTATTGGTCGAATTTATTTCAGCTGGATACCGCCCAAGAGGCTGCTCTTTTCTCGCAGAGCTGGGAGTCATTTGAAGACACTGGAAATAAATAATTCTTCTAAGATTTTTGCTGGTGTGACTCTTTTTTCCCCCAAGGAAAGGATATTCTCCTAAGTCTTCTCCATGTATGTATTAGCTTTTCTATGATAAAGTCTTTATTTCATTAATTCAATAATAGACACTAATGTAAAATTAAATGCATTTTTTTTTAGCAGATCTCTAATGATTACAGATTATGTCAGTACTTTTAATATTGGGGAAAGAGCATGAAAAGGACTGTTTGTTCATTTTGTAAATGTTTTTATTTTCCTGTGATTGAGACATGCCATTAAGGACTGGCAATTAAGGTACATCAAAAAGCACAGAGTGACCTGTGGGCATGCGAGAAACTAAACCACATTTGTATGAGAAAGCATACTAAGGCATTATTTGTTTCCATTTGAATGCTAAGAAGGGAGAGTTAGGAGAATCAAATGATTCTCCACTTAATGAAACTCCAGTAAGGGAAGTAGGTTTCATTAGTAGTGATGATTGATGGGGATTTATTGGTGACTCTGTGTAGTCCCAGGAGCAGAAGTCACCATGTAAACACCACTGTGCTAACAAAAGGGGATTGTTCACATGGCTGGCACTTGCAGGGCTGTGAGGATATGAAGCCACAAAGGGTAAATTCCCAATTTGGAGCCAAAGTGCTCAACAAAGGGGGTAACATTAACCATTGGATTAATGAATTCTGTTGAATAAACAATAGATTTTATTCTTCATTTCTTTTACTCCATGTTTTTAAAAAGGTATGGCTGCAAGAGAGAAAGTAATTTCATTGTTTAAGTTGGCAAATTAGGGAGAGTTTAGGGTTAATTTAGATCACATTTAATTCCTTTAAAGTGATTAATTTTGAACACTGCCTCTTACCCCAGTAGAGACGATGAATTGTCAAACTTTTCTCAAGACAGCAAAAATATTTTGAAATAAATATTGGAAGAAAGGTGACAAAACTGGTTATATAGGGTCACTATTTGTGGGAAGAACTGCAGAATTGTCCTGTGTGGGGATTTTCTGTGGCTCTAATTCCAGCGTCTATGTCTCCCACCTAAATATGGGAAATAGGCGTTTTGAATAGTCATGTTCTTTGGCCACTAAAAGGAAAGGAGACAACTTTGACATGAAAGAGGAATAAGTTCTCTCTGTTGTTTGATAGGGTGAGGATATTGGGCTCAGATATTGGCAAGGAAAAGTTGGAGAAAAGGTAGGGAAGAGAGATTGGGTTCTAAATTCATGGAAAGGAAGAAATGAGGGTCATTGAGAGGTTTTGATAAAAGCATATGTATTAGGAATTAGGGAGCTCTGGTAGCATAGTGGCTAAGGCACTTGACTGCTAACCAGAAGGCTGGCGGTTCAAACCCACCAGCCACTCCTCGGAAGGAAGGTTGGGTAATCCTACTATCCGTAGTGATACTGCCTCGGAAACCCAAGGAGGGGTCGCTATGAGTCAGGGCCGACTCGACGGCAATAACAACAACAACAACAACAATTAGGAATTAGGATAAAAACAGTACCAGTGTCCACTCTTTTGACATATTCCTAATGTTGTCAGTTTTCCAAGGAGTACTAGTGTCATAGTGGCTAAAGAATTAAGCTGCAATCAAAAGGCTGGTGGTTGGAATCCACTAGCTACTCCATGGGAGAAAGGTGAGGAAGTCTGCTTCCATAAAGATTTATAGCCTTGGAAGCCCTATGGGATAGTTCTACTCTGTCCTGTAGGGTTGCTTTGAGTCAAAATCAACTCAATGGCACTAGGTTTGGTTTTTGGGATCAGTTTTCTAAACAAGTGTCAGATATTTGCACTATAGTTAAGGTGATTTCAAGTCCCCAGTTGATGTAAATGGTTAACATGCTTACCTGCTAACCAAAAGGTTGAAAGTTTGAATCCATGCAGAGGTACCACACTAAAAAGGCCTGGTAAATACACTTCCAAAAAATTAACCATTAAAAACTACACAGAGTACATTTCTACTCTGACACTCAGGGTGTTACCATGAGTCAGAACCTACTTCATAACACCTTTTTTTTTTTTCAAAGTAATTTGGAATTTTATGAGGGGAGGTTTTAGTGCAGATTTATTTGTGTGGCCATTCAACATTGCCAAAAGTAGCTCTAATAACTTTCATCCATGACCTACGAATTATTCCACCAATTACATACCAAACAATTTGTGCTTGATCATACTCTGCATGGTTCAATTTCAATGTTTTGTTTAAAATTGTAATCGTTCACAATTAGAGTATAAGATCCTTGGGATCTTCGTTTAAGTATCTTCCACAAAACCTTTTTCTTCTCTAACTATATTATCCATGAGACAACTTTCTTGTCTTGTTCACTGCTGAATTTCGGAAGGTTGGGCAATCTACTTCCCTAGTGATAACCTCCTCGGAAACCCAAGGAGGAGGTAGCTGTGAGTCGGGTCTGACTCGATGGCACATAACAACAGCAACAACAACAAGCACAATGACTTACACACAGTATTCATAAAGAAAGTAGGCTTTTGAGAAATGTTTGTTATCTTGATAAGAAAATGAATAGGAGAACTAAGCTCATATATAATTGTTTATTAGCTATTGTCTTAATGTATAGGGGCATAGATTCACTAACTTTGTGGAAGTAAAGCAGTTAGGGTTTTGAAAACTAGTGCCATTCAGTATTACTTGTTGAATAGAAATTTTTCAAAAGATCTTAATAAGTTTATTGCTGAGGTACTGTTAAGACAGATTTCTGGCAACTTAGAATAGATCTACTAGAATAAATATTGTCAAAGTGAAAGACTGGTTTGGGTATAAAATTTTGTCCTAGTCTCAGGAAACAAAAACCAGAATCCTTGATAAGGGCTTAAAAGAATTTAATAGTGCTTAAGTCATCTTTTCGTTTTACATATAAAAATATATGTTATATATACATATAAATATGCAAACATCTAGAAACATATAATCTTATATATCTCCATTTTCATGGTTGGTCTTAACTTGCAACTCTAGGATTCTTTTCCAGGTGATAGAATTATTAGTTATTTTTACTTAGGCTATTTCCATGATTAAAATTCCACGTCTCCCCAGGTTTCTCTGAATCAGCAGTGCCCCAGAAGCATTTCCCTTCCTGAGACTCCAGGGAAGTCTTGGAACACAAAGAACTTGAAGAGGGAGCTGGGCCAAACAGATTTTTGAAACTTCATATGCTTGCTGAAGCAGATTGTCAGCACAAACAGAACTCAAAGTCTGTGTGTTATTTAAAGCAGCAATTTCATGTAAGTCCAAGGAGCTCACTTTGGTGCTATTTGTCTTGGCTAAAAAGATGAAAAGCTTTGTTTTACCCACGTGGCCATTATTTTGAAAAGAGACCATAACAAATTATTCTAAAACTTTAATCTCATTGAAGAATAGCTAAAGTTATTTGACATTAACTTTTCAATACAAAATTAACAACTAAATTTCCTCTAACACTGTTATTTTCTCAATCTGAAAAAAGCATCTCAAGTTCTTTTATAATACAATGAATAGACTTTGATTATTTTATTCAGATTCAGAACACTTTTCAAAAGAATGATGACGTGATTTTGTCAGTTATTTAATAAATTTTTATTTTTGTAAAAGGATTGAACTAAGAAATAACAAGATTTAACAGGTAAGTACCTTGGAACATTCAGAAGAGCACCATGGGAGAAACTGAGAAAAGAACTGAGACCCATAGAGTAAGATGTCTTTCCAAAATAAAGGTATGGCATTTTGTTTCTTGTACATGCTATATATGAATATATGTACATGTTCATATTTATTTTTAAAGTTAGAAGTCCTTGTAAAATTGCTCATATCTGTATGAAATTATGTAATATGAGTGTCATAATTTTTTTTTTCCTATGGAATGATGTAATATGAATGTCATATTACCTGATTTATTGGTAATTTCTTGTTTTAAAGAAGCTGATTTTGTAACTGAAGGTGTGTTGAAATAAGATTAATCAATTTAATCAGGCAATTTAATCAGGAATGGTTTTGAGGGACCTAAATGGAAGACAGGAACTTAAAAACTTCTAGGCATATAACATGTTGTGTCAGGATCTGTTTCTATGTATCAAAAGTCAATTCAGTTTTTACCCTTTTATGGCTTTGAGGCCAGAAGAGTATGGTGGACCCTCCTGGGAAATGGTTAAATGGACAAAAATGCTTTATTGATCTGTTTACAATGGTTACTTCACAATCACCCAGTAAAACTAATGTTTTCTTCAAGCTTTGGCAATATAACAATCATTCTCTATACAAAAAATTCTGTAATAAAATTTGTTTTATTAGCTGTTTCTATAGCTTTTGATTATTTCAGACAAAATTATTTTTCATAATTTCAAAGTCATTTTGTACTCAAACAATATTGAGTTTTCAACCAAAGGATCTGAATATTTATCTTAATTCCACAGCTAGTTCTTGCAAGTAGTTTTTAAACTATGACAGTGCCACCAATTTCTTCCCTATTAAAAGCTTGTTTTTCTTTTATATATGTATAGAAAAAGTCTATACATAAATACTGAAGGGGAATGTTATAGATATCATGATAATTGTGAAAAAAAAAAGATTTTCTTAAATTATTCCTCAATTTTTTTTTTTTTTTTTTCATATAATTGAATGACTAAAATTAAGGCTCTGGGTCCAGGCCTCCTGGTTTTTATCTGAGTCGAAAAAGTCTATACATAAATACTGAAGGGGAATGTTATAGATATCATGATAATTGTGAAAAAAAAAAGATTTTCTTAAATTATTCCTCAATTTTTATTTTTTTTTTCTCATATAATTGAATGACTAAAATTAAGGCTCTGGGTCCAGGCCTCCTGGTTTTTATCTGAGTCAGCTGCTTACTTGTTTTGTGATGTTGGGCAAATTGTTTAACCTCTTTGTGTCTCAATTTTCTCATCTGAAAAGGCCCATAATAAAAATAGTCATATCTCATAAGAATATTTTAATGTGCTTGAAATAATGATTGGACTATTGTAAATAATCAATAAATATTTGCTATTACTTTTAATAGCTTCTGTGGAGCAAAATCAAGTCAGGAGTTATTTATAAACAGTAGGCCTTAAATTTAATCTTTAAATTTACTTGGGAGTTTGGCAAGATGAGATATCAATGTGAAGGTTGTATCAAAATGTTGCAATCACAATGTTACGAGGAAAAAGTGAGAGTTGGGAAACTGCTTAATTATTAGCTATGTTTCTCAGCTTCACTGAAATTAGAAATATGCTCTTTAAGCAAAGTCCTTTAGGAAGCATCAAAAGACTATCCTTGAAAATGTTTCTTCAAACCCTAGGACATTATTGTTAAAAACTAGTAAGAAGAACTTTAAGAATATGCAGGTTATTTTGCACTAGACATGAGTCAGGATAGCCAGTGGTTACTTTCTAACCATTCAGGCAACCCATCTAGTTGTTTGAGGAAAAGAGCACTGGGGTCATAACCCATCTAGTTTACTTTCTTAAAATGTCAAATATAATAAATTATTTCCCCAAGTCTGATTTGTACTTGATTCTGTAGACCTTGCCTTTAAATAAAATACCCAAATTATAAAACCATGTAAAAATTGTTTACTGTCAATAACATGCCCTACAAAGATTCATAGTGTAAAGAGAGACAGAATTTCCACAAATGTTATTTAATATAAAAGGGTCCATACTGGAAGTATAGCTATGCTATCTTGGGAGACTCATAGTTTTGACTTATGTCAAGTCTGATGTAATTTAAACTCCCCATGTCTTTTCCATATACATTTATATTCATATTTCCCCAAGTAGATGGTAAAGATCCTATTGTGTTTCCTCTCACTTTTTTCTTTTTAATTGTGATTTGGGTTAAAGTTTATAGAGCAAATTCATTGTCCATACAGAACTTCATACACATTTTGTTTCATGACATTAATTGCAGTCCCCATAATGGAATAGCTCTCTCCCCACTTCCTACCTGTGATTACCTTTTCCTATGTCCTACTTTCCTATGCATTCCTGCCCTCTGAGCTATCTCCCTATGCAAATACTGCCCTTCTGATCTCTCATGATTGATTGTTCTAAGAAGTGTACCTACCAGGTATAACCGTTCACCTTATATACCTGTCTATTGTTTGGCTGGAAGCCATGAGAGTGAGTTCAACTCCAGACCTGAAGGGTGACTAGGGGTCATAGTCTCAGGGGTATAACCAACCTCTTTCAGACCAGTAAACCTGTTTTTTTTCATGATTTGGGGTTTTTTTTTTCCTATGTTTTCTCCTACTCTATCCAGGATCTCCTATTTTGATTCCTTTGTGAGTAGTTCACAGTGGTAGCCAGGCATCATCTAGTTCTTCTGGTCTCAGGGTCATGTAGGCTGAGGTTCTCATGGTCCACTAGTCCATTGGACTGTTTCCATGTGTGTTTGATTTTCTTCATTCCCCTTTGCTCTAGACAGAGAAAGATCAATCATTGTATCTTAGGTGGCCACTTTCATCTGACCACTTCTTCAAGATGTTTTTGAATACTTATCTGTCATTTATTTAGTTAACTTGTATTGAATGCCTACCTCAGGCATGGTGCTAGACACCAAAAATACAAAAGTAGATGTATATGGTTCTTATCTCTCAATTGTAGTGTAGTTAGAAAGAAAGTTATAAACATACAAACACATAGTTAAATTACAATGTGATAAGAGTGATAATAGAAGTAGAAAAAGAGTGCAGTGAGAAGACAAGGCTATCTGGAGACCAGAGAGTCAAGGAAGTTTTCCTAGAAGAAGTAATGACTGAGCTAAGTCTTGAGAATTGAGTATATATTTACAAGATACAGAATAGGAAAAAAGTATTACAAGTAGAGAAATATCATGTAAAAGACACTGAAACATTAAACTGCATTATTAAAGGAAATGTAAGCAGAACATTGTGTCTAGGGACATACAGTAGAAGATAATACTGAGATATAAACAAGACTAGATAAAAAAAAATTGGGAGTGGGGTGATGGGAAGTCATTGGAAGGCCTTAAGAAGTGGAATAATACACTAAATATTCATTTTAAAAATTCATTTGACATTCACTAAGCCCCAAACAAGTGGTAGTGGCAGGTGGAAGAGTTTAGAGGTTAGCAAGTCTAGATGAGATAAGAAATTATTGCAGTTGTTTAAACCAGACTGTATCTGAATCTGAGAAATTTCAGCATGAGTGGTCATTAAAAGTCATGAGAGTCAGTGAAATTTTCTAGGGATGGTAGACAAACCCTTGAAGGAGTTGACCAAAGAAAAGAAGACTAAATAGAAAGAGCCTAACAGGTAGGCAGAGATATAGGTATACAAGGGGGTAAGAAGGATTTCAGAAAGAAGAGATTAATCTGTTAAATGACTCAGAGAGATTGAAGAAACCAACAACTGAAAAGTGTCTTTAGGATTTGGAAATCAGGAGGCTGTTTATGATTTTCATGGAGTAGTTTCAGACCAGACTATAGTAGACTGAAAGGTAAACTGTAGGTGAAATACTGTAGACAGCGAGTCTAGAGTATTCTTTGAAACTTCTTGATAATTACAGTAGGATGCATGATGAGGGAAGGTATTTTTTTCAAAAGATGAAAGTACCTTGAATATATATTTATAAATTGATGAAGAGAGATCAGGTACAGAGTATGAAGTTTAAAATAGAGGAAAAAAAACGCTCACTGCTGTCAAGTCTAATCAACTCATAGTGACCCTTCCTTGGGTTTCCAAAGGGGTATCTGTATGGAAGTAGATTGCCCAATCTTCCTTTGGAGGAGTGGCTGGTAGATTTGACCCTCCAGCCTTTTGGTTAGCAGTCAAATGCCTTAGGCTCTATGCCAGCAGAGCTCAAAGGGGGCAATAATTGATGGATCACGATCTTATAAATGGGAAGAACTGATTCCAGAGCAAAGATGGAGGGATTTTCTTGTATAAGAAAAGGGACACCTAGCCTTTTAAGATTGGAGTGAAATTATAGGGACAGATATAGAGGTAAGTTTGAAAGTGGAGTTGCTGAGATCATTTGCTGATAATGAGAATCAAGGGCCTGGGTCAGAGACAGAAACATAGAGGAAGTTGTGAATAATCCTGAATAGTATATGCAAGATAGAAGAAAAAGTATGGGATTGTTTCAAGACTGAGAGTGTGGAAGGTGGAGGGATAAGAATTTTAGAATTGAGTATGTTGAATAGAGAATAGGTCAAACGGTCTTCCAGGATGGAAGTGGCATCATATAATATCATTAGGTAAATCTGGAAGGAAAAAAAAAAAGGTACATCATTGGAGATCCCCATTCAAATTACCAATTTTTTTTTCCTGTAATTTTATTGATTTTGAGGCAGTAGTAAATTTACATAACTATTGGGAGCTCTGGTGGCATAGTGCTTAAGGCATTTGACTGCTAACCAGAAGGCTGGCGGCTCAAACCCACCAGCCACTCTTCGGAAGGAAGGTTGGGCAATCTACTTCCGTAGTGATACCACCTTGGAAACCCAAGGAGGGGTTGCTATGAGTCGGATCCGACTCCCCGGCAACCAAAACCAAACTCACTGCCATCAAGTTGATTCCAACTCATAGCGACTCCCATTGAGTTTTCCAGGTGGTAAATCTTTACAATTGTCCCATCTTCCTTCTGTAGGAGGCTGGTGGGTATGAATCCGTAATTTTCAGGTTTGCAGGCAAATGCCTTAGGCACTAAACCACTAGAGCTCATTAACTATATTATTAACCAGTATATATTGCTTCTCTTTACCCTTTTCAAATCATTTAGTAAAAGCTAGATCTTTTTCTTTCTGATTTAATAAAACCATCACAATTTTGGCTTTTTATATTTTTAGTAAAATCATTACAGTTCCTGATGATTTCAATGGCTCTATTTGTTAAGTTGTCCTTGACTTAACTTCATTCATCTCTGGAATTACATCAATACATAAAACTAAAAACCAAACTCACTGCCATGGAGTTGGATGTGACTTATGACCACCCCTCCTTGGGTTTCCGAGGTGGTATCACTACAGAAGTAGATACTGGGAGGTGTAATTAAATAAATGAAAATTTGTTGTATGCATATTTATAGTTGCAGTCATCTGTTCAGTTTAGAAACATTTTTTCAATGATTTGTAGTAAGTTTTACTTTGTAAATAAATTTATTGGCAGCAAGACACAATCTAGTATAAATGTAATTTATATATTACTTTGGATGCAAGAGAACAGAAGCAATGTCATTGCATAATGCCCCATTGCTACTTTTAATTAATGTGTATGTATTATTTTGTACTAGAGATATTTTTTAGTGCTGAAGATACATGTGCTATTAGCTAGTGTTATTATGATCATTATTTGTTTCTATGTATGTATACATTCAAGATGTGACTGTAAGTTATCTATAGCTATCTACAGAATTCAATATTGCTAATTGATTAGTTCCATTTTCGGTTTCAAAGAGATATCAGGGTATGAAAGAAAAAAACAGACCACATTCAAAATTCCTTGCAAAATTCAAATGTTACTTAAGTTGGAAACAATCAATCTTGTGGTGGAATATGTTTAGTCATTGGGTAGCAGACAACAAACAATTTAGATAAATTTTTCATATGTTTTCTTATATTCCTTCCTTCCTAGATGTTTTTGTTGGCATTAACATGTGCATATGTGTCCAAAACACTGTCTGGATCTTATATGAATTCCATGCTTACACAAATAGAGAGACAATTCAACATTCCAACATCTCTAGTTGGATTTATTAATGGGAGCTTTGAGATTGGTAATGATTTATTTTTGCATTACTTGTAATATATTTTGTGTTATCTATGGAGCTGGTATGAATTTCTCTCCTCATTGCCTCTTTAGCCTATTGAACCTGGCTATGTTATATTTTCTCTAAGAAGGACTGGATATCCTGGCATGCTGGTGTATGCTTAGAAGCAAGGCATTTAAATATTACCTTTGAATGAAACCCAAATATTGTCACATATTCCACCACTGCCTTTTTCATTCTAGTGGTTTGTCAGTTATCTAGCATGAGTGTTTATATTTAAATCAGTCATTTGATAACCCTAAGGGAAGCTAAAGTCTCTCTTAGTATTTAGAAGATTATCATGGGAGACCTAATGAATCTGTTTCCCAAAAGAAAATGTAAATATTTTCCTTCTCCTGTTGTATCTAGAAGATTGATAATTCTCTTTTCCAAGTGCAGAGGGAAGAAAAACCTACTTTTGTATCCACTTGAATTTATTTCAGAAATAGGTGTAAGTGTGGCTCTGCCAAAACTAAATTCACTGCCGTTAAGTTTATAGCGACCCCTCCTGGGATTTCCAAGGCAGTATCACTACAGAAGTAGATTGCCCAATCTTCCTTCCAAGGCGTGGCTGCTGGGTTTGAATTTCCAGGCTCTGGTTAGCAGTCAGATAGATGCCTTAGGTACTTGCTCTAGGGAAGTCCACTCTTAAATTCTGCTTTTTGCAGAAGATTAGGAAGATGAGAGAGAGAGAATGAGGGAAAGATACCTTCTACAAACAAAGGTGCAGAGAAATATGATTGCATTCCTTTCTGATTTTATAATGGCTATTCTTTCTTTCAAAGTGACCAAAAACTCACTGCCATCAAGTTGATTCTGACTCACAGCAACCCTCATTGGGTTTCCGAGGCTGCAAATCTTTATGGAAGCAGGCTGCCTTGTCTTTTTTCCATGGAGTGGCTAGTGGGTTCAAACCACTAACCTTTCGTTTAGCAGCCAAATACCTTAACCACTATACCACCAGAGCTTTTTTTTTCAAAGTGACTGTTACTTTTAATATATTTAATCAAGGTTGAGGGGAGGTAACACTGTGAAACAGATGAGACTTGATCACATCTCTTAGTGTTCAACTCTCTCAGAGCTTACTTACTTTGTACCACCTTTGTGCTAGACCCTGGTGATGGAATTACAAATGATGCTTTGTTCCTGTCCTTATATAGGCTCAGTCACAGTCAAAAAACAAACACCCCCAAAAGCAATCCAGTTGCTGTCAAGTTGAATCCAACTCATGGCAACCTCGTGTGTACATGTGTGTCAGAGTAGAACTGTGGTCTGTAAATTATTGATTTTTCAGGTGTAGATTTCTGCAGAAGCACCTCTGAATGGGTGTAAATCCCTAACCCTTTAATTAGTAGCCATGTTTATTAACTGTTTATTACACCCAGGTACTTCCTACAGTCTTACAGTCTTAAGGAGGGCATAAATACAAAATAATTTTAATGTAATGGAGTAAGTGTTGTCACATAGGTATATACAAGGCCCTATAGGAACACTGAGGACAGGTCACAACCTCACTTAGGGAAGACTGAGTCTTGAAGATGAGTAAAAATTTTCTAAGTAGATAAAGAGGTTAAAGAAGTATAAAGACGTAGGCATAAGGGTACAGTAGTGTAGCATGTATGGGGGGCAACATTCAACCCAATATTATTGACTAGCAAAGTCTATGGTAGAAATTATTAGGGTATAATTCTTGCCCTGGAGAAATGGGCAGGGATGAGAAATGAATCATGGAGAGCCTTATATATTCACTGAGGAGCTGTTTATCATCTAGGTGAAGGAGAATCACTAAGGGTTTCGTAGAGGTTATTAATCTTTTTGTGCCAAGGAGTCCTTTGGCAATATGGTGCCGTATGATCTCAAATTAATATTTCAAATTTCTTATTGTTGGATAGGAAGGCAATCATATAGAAATGAAACCATTGCGGTTGAGTCGACTTCAACATAGGGGACACCGTGTGTTGCAGAGTAGAACTGTTCCATAGTTTTCTTGGCTGCAGTCTTTATGGAAGCAGATCACCAGGCTTTTTCTTCCACAGCGCTGCTGGGTGGGTTTGAACTCCCAAGTTTTTGTTAGCCTCCAACCACAAACTGTTTGCACCATCTAGGAACATTTCCCAAGGCTGGATAATTACAAACAGAACCTTTAAAATTTCCTAAACACCATTCTTCAGTCCCTTTCACTGGCTTTTCTTCCTCTGTGCTGTTTAATTGTTGGTGTGCCACAGAGATCTGTTCATGTATCTGTCTGCACTGCAAAACAGAACTCTACTTCAGGTCAGGGGTCTTACTTATTTTCTTGTTCATTCTTAGCACAGTTCCTAGTATTTGAGATAGTTGTCATATAACAAATGGTAGGTAGTAAATGATGTGTGGGGGTGTTAATTAAGACTGTTCATAATGATTGAAATGAACACTCTCATTATTATTATTTTTTCTAGGAAATCTTTTACTGATTGTATTTGTGAGTTACTTCGGAACCAAACTGCATAGACCTATAATGATTGGTGTTGGATGTGTGATAATGGGCTTAGGGTGCTTCTTACAGTCACTACCTCATTTCCTAATGGATCGGTAAGTTTGCCAGTCCCTGATGACTTTTTAGGTTCAACTTTCAACTGACACAAATGAAGCTTGGATTTTTTTTTTTTTTTATCTAGGAGCTGTGTTTTCTGAAAGTACAGAGCAGTGTGATGGGAAGCAGATGACATGGATTCTGCTCCACCACTCTGTTTTGTGTTCTTGGATGCCTCGCTTCCACTTACATGGTCATATTCTGCCAACTTATGAAATGGAGATTTGGCTACCTCTTTTATGAGATTAAGTCTGATGAAAAGATTTTAAGAACCTGCCCAAATTTGGAATTATTCCCTTTTGGGGACCATTTAGACACTTATAATGATAGGGGTGCCTGGGTGACATAAATGGTTTAGCATTCAGCTGCTAACCAAAATGTTGGAGTTTTGAATCCACCTGGAGGCACCTCAGTAGTAAAGTCTGGCAATCTACTTCCAAAAACTCAGCCATTGAAAACCCTATGGAGCACAGTTCTATTTTGATACACCAGGACTCATCATGAGTCAGAATTGACTCAACAGCAATTGTTTTTGTTTGTTTGTATATTTTGTTTTTAATTACAGTGAGGTTGTGTTTAATTGTAGGACACCAAGAGGCAGAGGCCAGTTTGAATGTTACTATTTATTTTCATTTTTATCAAAACAGTATCTGTGCTAGGTGCTTTCAAATTGCACATTTGGAAAAATAACTTGTATTATTTCTCTGCTAATATTTTCACCTCCTTTCACTCCCTCCATTCTCTGTGTTTTCTCTTTCTAGAATATATGTATATTTAATACTTAAATATTAGACATCCTGGATTAAGTTTATGTTTTTCTCATTTTTGTTCTTCAATTTTGTGTTTCTTTGTATTCTTGTTAATCTCACAGGGCTTTCTCCAGCTTTTTCTTCCAAATCTTCTAATAATTTTTTACTTTTGCTATGATGTTTTTAAATTTTCAAGGATTCATTTGTTCTTTGAATGTATCTTTTTAAGAAACATATTATTCCTCCTTCAAGAATGCAATGTCTTCTCTCATCTAAATTTTCTTCAGCTTGCTTCATTCTCTCTCTCTCTCTCTGTCTTCTAAGTGTACAGTTTCTTTGTCTCTGTCTTCTTGTAACAGGCTTCCCTCAAATATCTGGTGATTCTTGATTGTGTTCATATTTAAAAGATAGGAATAGCAACAATAACAACATAAAGGGGATTGGAAATTCTGCATATATGTGTAGGATGACTGCTTAGATACTGGCTGTTATTTAGACCATTACAACTGCCCTTTAACTGTCAGTTTTCCCAGTAAGGGGTTCTCCAATCTGTTGCCTGGGTGGCAAAAGCTTGGCTAGTTGCTAGATTATTGTTAGTTGATGTGGAATTGGCTCTGACTCATGTGAACCTTATATATAACAGGTGGGAACATTGCCCAGTCCTGCACAATCTTAATCCTAGGAAACTCATCTTGCAAGACTATATCAGGTGACACTCAATAGTTCTGATCCATAGGGTTTTGATTGTCTAATTTTTGGAATTAGAGCTCCCAGCCTTTCTTCCTAGTCTGTGTTAGTTTGGAAGCTCCACTGAAACCTGTCTGTCACTGATAAACTCTGATGGTATTTGAAGTACCAGTGGCATAGCTTCCAGCATCAGAGTAGCATGCATGCAAGCCCCATGAGTATGACGAAATGACAGACTATCCAGATACAAGTACAGATTTTCCTTTTCAGTATGTAGTTTTGTTTTGTTTTAGTTAATCCCTCCAATTTTTGTTATGGCCTCTCTATACTCAGATGTGCCTGTTCAAATTCTCTAGATTCATTGGACATTTTCAGTTGGAATGGGGGATAGTATCCCTGGGTATCTAACTTTCCTTTATACACACTTTAAACCAAGCGTCCTGTTTTTGGACAGTTCCCTGTCTCATTCTCAGAAGTACATTGTGCCTCCAATTCCTGAAATTTTCTAGGAACGTTTGTCATAATTTTGGTTGCTGCCCTGTAGGTACTTATTTGTCGTTGTTGTTATGTGCTGCGGAGTCAGACCCGACTCATAGCGACCCCTCCTTGGGTTTCCGAGGTGGTATCACTATGGAAGTAGATTGCCCAACCTTCTTCTGAGGAATGGCTGGTGGGTTTGAACTGCCAGCCTTCTGGTTAGCAGTTGAGTGCCTTAGTCACTATGCTACCAGAGCTCGTAGGGTTGTATTTTCTCATCTCTGCTAATTCGGTGATCTTTCACTAATCTGTTTTCCAGTCTTCAAAATGTTATTAAACTCTTATTTTCAAATCTCCTCTTTTCCTTACTTGTGGAATTATGACTTTTCCATTTATTGTTATTTTACTGGTGTTTTGGAAATGAATGGACTTTGAATGAGTTATTTGATTTTGTTAACTGAATAAGTTAAATGAAAAAAGAAAATTCAGGAATTCCTGAAGGGATCAGAAGTTTCCGGGAAAAGAATTTTGTTGTTGTTGTTTGTTGCGGTCAGATGACCTTATGTATAACAGAATGAATATGTATAACAGTCTGGTCCTATGCCATCTCCACCTTTGATATGTTTGAGCTCATTGTTGAGGCTGTTATGTTACTTCATCTCATTGATAGTGTCCCTTTTTTCTCTAGTCTTCTAACAAATGTGATACTCTTTTTGAGTGACTAGTCCTTCCTGATTATGTGTCCAAAGTAAGCAAGATAAGGTCTTGCAAATTTGCTTCTGAGGAACATTCTAACTGTAGTTCTTTCCTATGCTTTCCAAGGCCATGTCAAGCAACATTCAGTAATTATTTACATTTCTTCCTTCCCTTTGTCAAAAGCATATTTTGTTTTAGTTTGAAGCTGACAAGCTCACAGATGTGGAGATAGAAACCTTTCTCCTCAGTTCACAATCACACTTTGGGCATGATGGGCAATTGTAAAGGAAAGGTAGTTTGGTCATTTTTACTTATAGCACAGGAAAAGAAGTTCTGGTAGTGTAGCTGGTAAGACATTTGGCTGTTAATCAGAAGGTCAGTGGTTCAAACCCACCAGCTGCTCCATGGGAGGAAGATGAGGCAATCTACTTCTGTAAAGATTTATAGCCTTGGAAATCCAAAGGGGTCATGATGAGTCAGAATCAACTCAATGACAGTGGGTATAGCACAGAAATTAGGACTATCAGTGGTAGCTAAGCATAATAGTCTTCAACTCCTTTGAAACTCAAAGAACACATTTCCTTTTGTTTTTCTCTTATCTAATAGAAACATAGAAATCAATATAGCATAATTTCTAAAAAAGAAATTTAGTTGGACATGTTTGCTTCCCTTATTTAGCATATAACTTACCTTCCTAAAAGGGACATGTAACTCTGTGGTAATTTGCCTAAGTAAAAACTTGACTGCTAACCAGAAGGCTGGTGGTTCAAACCCACCAGCCACTCCTCGGAAGGAAGGTTGGGCAATCCTACTTCCGTAGTGATACTGCCTCGGAAACCCAAGGAGGGGTTGCTATGAGTTGGGGCCAACTCGACGGCACATAACAACAACAACAACAACAAAATGGTCAGTCTCTTAACTCTTTTGTTCTTACAAGAAAATAAAAAGTCATTACATTGTGCTGTCAGGATATTTGAGATATTCCTGAGGCTCTCATAACAATGAGAAAATATTTTGTTTTCTTTACTTGTCAGGGAACACATGAAGGAATTATTGTTTGGATTCTCAGAAAGTGGTGATATATTTCTTACAAGCAAATCTCAGAGAGTCCAAAGTTGGAGGCTTGTTTTTTATTTTTCTTATCCTCCCAAAGCCTTTATCTTTTTAATTATACTTTATTGAGTGTATTATTTTTCTGTTTGTTCTTTATACCACACAAATTATTTCCAGGAAATGATCACCTAACAATCACAGAAGGAAGATGTTAGGTAACCTAAGAGGTTACCACATGCAGATAAATAAAAGCTAACTGTGAAGGTACTGTAATTTTACTGTGAGTGACAAGTTACTTTTGAGGATAATAATTTGTGATGATTAGGATATTAAAGATGAGAAAGCATCTTCTTTGTTGGATTTGGACATTGTGTCTTAAATAAAGCAGGAGTTAATAATCTGGACTATGCCCACATTGTCCCCATTAGCTCTTTAACATAAACATGTTTTCCCTGTGTTCATACAGATATGAATATGAATCTACAGTTTCAGTTTCAAGCAACTTGTCCTCAAATAGTTTCTTGTGTGTGGAAAATGGAACCCACATTTTCAGACCAACAGAAGATCCATCAGGTTGTCTACTTCATTTTTTTTTTTGTTTGCTGTTGTTGTTCAGTAAGTTTGTAACTGAATATTTTCTGCTGAGGGGTTTTGAATGAATTCTTGAGTTTTGTTAAGTGGGTAAGATAAATGAATGAAACATACTTTCTCTTTCCAGGAATTTTGGAGGGGTAGAGAGGGTGAATAAGAATGGCTAATAATACAGAACATTATTTTTCTTATCTTTGAATGTACTTATTAAGAATGTCTTATATTTTCTATAAAATGATAAGGAAAAAATGAGCCAAAGACATCCATTCAAGGGTCACTGCAGAGTTGATTCCACAGGGAGAAAGCAAATGGCTTAGAAGGATGGATTTGTGCTCATGATGTGGTCGTATTTGTATGTCAATAGGAAATAAAGATAGAAATTGAGTTCAAAAAATTTTATCACTCATCTTGCAGAGGAAGGAAAGTAGGCAAGAATGCTATGTTGTTGTTATGTGCTGTCGAGTTGGACCTGACTCATAGCGACCCCTCCTTGGGTTGCTGAGGCAGTATCACTATGGAAATAGATTGCCCAACCTTCCTTCCAAGGAGTGGCTGGTGGGTTTGAACTGCCAGCGTTCTGGGCAGCAGTCAAGTGCCTTAGGCACTATGCTACCAGAGCTCCTAAGTATGCTATAGTCCTGGTTTATTCTGTTTTCTTTCTACTCACCTAGGACTTGTTCTAGATTATTTCTGCCCCTTTTTACCAGAGACACAATAATGGTACTTCCTCTAGTTTCCTGTAGGCCTAGTCATCACCATACTGAGCTCTGTCCCCTTCATGTGCTAAGAGACTTACATAATCTTCTAGTGGAGATGACCCTACTAACTAACTCAGACTTATTTCTCTTCTGATGGGGTCAAGTTTATACTGTATTTATAGCAGTGGAAGTTACAATGCTCTGCTAGACTGAGAATTTCACTGCCATGATGGAATCAAGGAAACTGAAATAGTTTCAAGGAGACTGAGAATGGCTGTCTGAGAAGTTCTAGGCCAAAAGAACCACCTGAGAAAACAAAGGAGGACAGTGAAGTTAACAGCAGCCTTTATCCTCTGCATCAGCTGGCTTTTGATAAGACCCTGGTGCTTGTCTTTTCTGCACTCCATCAATCAAAACCTTCCCAGTTTGATACATAGATAGACATACAAACTGAAAAGATATGGGAAGGTGAATGGGACTACACTCACAAATATAGGTTTTACGAAGGATATTTTCACATATGTATTTGTATGTGCTCCAAATATATCCTTGCATATGATAGATCATGTTATTGTTGTTGTTGTTGTTATGTGCCATCAAGTCGGACCCAACTCATAGCGACCCCTCCTTGGGTTTCCGAGGCAGTATCACTACGGAAGTAGATTGTCCCATCTTCCTTCCGAGGAGTGGATGATAGAGCATATAGGGGGCAAAGTCATGGAAACTTCTTAGCCATAACCAAACACTGTGAGGAAATGAGTTACTGGGTCTGGAGACTCAAGACCATAGTCTCAGGGCACATCAAGTTCAATTGGCAGAACATAGTCCACAAAGACAATGTTCTGCATTCTACTTTGGTAGAGTGACTGGGGTCTTAAAAGCTTGCAAGCAGCCATCTAAGGTACAACTATTGGTCTCTTCCCATCTGGAGCAAAGAAGAATGAAGAAAATCAAAGATGCAAGGAGACCATTAGTCCAAAAGACTAGTGCAGCACATGAACCCAAGCTTCCATGACCAGGAGATCAGAAAAACTAGATGGTATCTGGCTGTCATTGCTGACCACTCTGGATCAGATCACAATAGGAGGTCCTAGATAGAATGGGAGAAAAATGTGGAACAAACTCAAAATCAAAAAAATGACCAGGCTTACTTATCAAATAGAGACTGGTAGAATCTCCCAGATGATGGCCCTTAGTCACCCTTCAAGCCTGGAACTGAACTCATCCTTGAGGTTCTGCTTTCAGCCAAATAATAGACAGGTCTATAAGGTGAACAATAATACCAGTGAGGCAGTACTCCCTAGAACAATCAACCATTCTAGATCAGAAGGGCAGCATTTGCCCAGGGATAAAGTTCAGAATGCAGGAAGGGATGGAAAAGAAGGGCAAATGGAAAGAAGAAACACAGGGAGGAAGCGGGAAGAGTGCTGTTATATTGTGGGGATTGCAACCAGTGCCACAAAACAAAATGTGTATGAATGGAAAATCAATTTGCTCTGTAAACTTTCACTCAAATCACAATAAAAAGTTAAAACAGACAAAACAAAACAAAACAAAAACAAAACAAAACAAAAAACTTCCCCAGTTTGGTGTATGATCCAGAAAGTGTATTGATCCTTTATTTGATATTTTCAGTTTTGCCCCTAAAGTTGGCCTAGAATTTGCTTGTGATGCCTAGACACAAATCACTGTATCCACCATAAAAAAATAAAATAAAAATAATAGTAAAAAAACCCCACAGAAGTGGGGACTATGGTTTTTTGGTCTGGGGATGACTGAGAGCTAGACCTCTTAGAGCCAGCTTTACTCAAGACCCTCACATCTATAGGTGGCACCCAACCAGTTTATAAGAGATGAAAGTAGATTGTTACTCATTTCCCTAAAAAACATAACCTCAAAGAGCTTCCTCTGGGTTTAGCAGCTGTTCTGTCTTAGTACAGAAATAGCAAAGAGGTAGATATAAATCTTCAGAGATCTGCCCTTCCTTTCCTGTTTAATTCCTTTTAACCTTGTTTACTTTATTCTACTAAGAAGCTGCTGCTCCAAGGAGTGGGACTGATTTATTTAGTAAGAGTTACTTGGTTGTTACAGTATACACTAAGCTCTATAGAGGAAATGTGAATTATTACCCAGTTAAACATCGCAGTGTCTGTAAAATTATTATAGAGAGACTATAAACTTACAGTGAGACTCTTGTTTAAATCTTATGAATATAGTGGTAATTCTAGAATGGATATTTTTGTTTGTTTTTTTTGTTTGTATTTCCTCTCCTCTCATTACCAGGAAAGGGAGCACTCATAACAGCCAACTGAGCCCAGTGGTTACTAGTAAAGTGGCTCTCTCGTGGGTGAGAAGCCCAAATTTGTAGAGTTCACTGAATTTTGTGATGTAAATATGCCCATTAAGCTACCAACAGTTTATCACTAAACACTGAATTGGGAAGAGATGTATATATGCGTTTCTCCTGGCCTAGTAGGAGATGGCTCCCACACAATTTATACTTGCACAAACCTAAGTATTCTGTCAGCAAATGCTATAGGGGTAGTCCAATGATTCATTCCTGCAAAGGAACATAAATAATTTACAAGGTGCCATGGTCACATCAGAATGATGAAATATTTACAAAAAACCTTAGAATTAAGTATCATTAATCCTTTTACATGAAACAATAATGTAATGTCTTCTTTTTTTTAATGCAGCATGTGTGAAGGAAGTTAAGTCATTAATGTGGGTTTATGTACTAGTAGGAAATATTATACGTGGCATTGGTGAAACTCCCATTATGCCTTTGGGTATTTCCTATATAGAAGATTTTGCGAAATCTGAAAACTCTCCTTTATACATAGGTAAGTTTAAAAATCAAATTTCTGATCAAATTTACATTTTCCTCCTTACACTCTCCAGGAGAGTCAATGCATAAGGAAATCATGATAAAAGCTAAGAGAAATATCAATAATAGGTAGTAGCAGAGGGAGTTTCAAGTTACAGATTTGGGAACAGAACTTTTCTGAGGAATTTTTCACAAGAAATTCATCACTAAATGGTATTGCTTAAAAATTCCAATAAAAACATGATTATGCAATGCACAAAAAGACTTCTATATCACGAATTTTCTAATAGCATGATCCCAGCCTATACCAAATCTCTACCTGAGACCCAGCATAACAGACAGTTTAACAACTTAGAGAAAGTGGCTATGAAATAAGAAAGTTTTTTTTCAGCATTTAGAGAAACAAGTATTACTTCATATGTACATCAAACTTAATTTTAGCATAAATTGAATATCTAAGACAAAACTACTTAAAACAAAAGTAATTTTGTGTTCAGACTCCTCATGGAACCAGAACTCTTGAGTGGGTATGTAACTATACAATAAATTTATATTTTCCTTTATTTTTAGGGTTAATAGAAACAGGAGCTATTATTGGTCCTTTGATTGGACTTTTGTTAGCATCATTCTGTGCAAATGTTTATGTTGACACTGGATCTGTGAACACAGGTAATTCAATAAAATCAATTTATAAAATGTCTAGAGTACACAGCGCACTTTCAGGTAAGTGATCATAGCTAATCATTGCCTTAGATGACATTCAGATAGATCTTTCCACTTCATGGATAAGAAAACTGAAATTGAGGAGTTTAAGTAACTTTTCAAATGTTTCAAACTAGTGAGCAGAAGAACAAAGTAAAATACTGATCTCCTGACTCAAAATTGAGTGTATTTTCTGATACCATAATCTTGGTTTGGAAAGATTTAGCACATTGATTTAATCAATTGATTTAATCAAGCAATCATTTGTTGGTGGTTAAATAGAACTCTTATTTATTTAATGTCTAGTTTTTTTTTTTTTTTTTTTTTTAAATAAATTTCTTACATAATAGGACAAATAGACTAATTAATTGCTAGACTTGGGTGCTTTGTCACATTATAAAATAAGTTTCCTGAATACTGAAATTATATATAAATTTGATACTTGGATATGGTGATTGTTGTTAGATGCCTTCAAGTTGGTTCTGACCCATAATGACTCTCTGTACAACAGAATGAAGCACTACTCAGTTCGGTGCCATCCTCACAATCATTGCTACGCTAGAGCACATTGTTGCAGCCACTGTGTCAATCCATCTAGTTGAAGGCCTTCCTCTGTTTCACTAACCCTCTACATTATTAAGCATGATATCCTTCTCTTGGGACTGGTCCCTCCTGACAACATGACCATGATACAAGAGGCAAAGTCTTGCCATCCTTGCTTCTAAGGAGCTTTCTGGCTGTACTTCAACCAGGACAAATTTGGGTGTTCTTCTGACAGTCCATGGTATATTCAAGATTCTTTTTCAACACTATAATTCAAAGGCATCAATTCTTTTTCATTTTTCCTTATTCATTGTTCAGTTTTTGCATGCATATGAGATGGGCAATCTACTTCCATAGTGATACTGCCTCAGAAACCCAAGGAAGGATCGCTATGAGTCAGGTCCGATTCGACGGCACATAACAACAACAACATGAGGTCATTAAAAATACCATGGCTAAGGTCAGCTGCACCTTAGTCCTCAAAGTGAAATCTTTGCTTTTTAACAATGTAAAGAAGTCTTTTGTGGCAGATTTCCCCAGCACACTGTGTCCTTTGATTTCTTGACTGTTGCTTCAATGGGCATTGATTGTGGATCCAAGTAAAATGAAATCCTTGGCAACTTCAACCTTTTCTGTTTATCGTGTTCTTGTTTATGATATTTGGATAGAACCTGAGAATTCTACTTTTAATAATTTTCTTTAATTTGTACAGGAAATAATGACGTAAAGAATAAAAATGTGTCTATTTCTTTACAGATGATCTGACAATAACTCCCACTGACACTCGTTGGGTTGGTGCATGGTGGTTTGGCTTTTTGATTTGTGCAGGAGTGAATGTGCTCACTGCCATTCCTTTTTTCTTTTTGCCCAAAACGCTTCCAAAGGAAGGACTAAAGGATAATGTTGATAAAATTGACAAGGAGGAGAAACATAAAGATCAAGAGGTCAAGCAGGAAAAGGATGGAATCACTAAAGGCAAATATACAAATTTTAAATACTATATAATTTCCCTTGCATTTTACATGAATGTATTTCTATTTTAGGCTAATATTATAATATGTAATGGTATGTGATCACAGTTTGACATTAACAATGTCATAAATGGACTGTAGTTTTTAACTAATCTAATTGCTCCTGTACTACTACTTGGAAATAAATGATATAATTTGGAAGTTGAAGAATCTTAGCTCAACCTTTCTATAATTTTTTATGTCAGTTGAGGCACTCAATAAATATTTATTTTATTTGTACCTATATGCACTAAAAATTACATTTTATAGAAAATATAGTCTTAATTAGAAAAAATTAGAAAGTTAAATTAAGAACAACAACAAGAAAAAAATATATACTAATCTCAAGAGATAGGATAGTTCTGTAATCAAAATTTTAGTTTAACTGGGAGCTTTCTGGAATTTAACATAGAAAAAGAAAGTGTGATAGGCCACATAATTATCTATATTTGCTAGTGGGAAGAATAGTAATTCTTAAAGAGAAAACTGTCCCCCAACTAACAGATTGTAAAAGAAAGAAACGATCATAGGAGATATGGTGCAGGAAATAATTGAACTATGGGGTGGTTTTATAGTAAGTTCAGGGACACATTTCATTTAACAGTTTTTTTTTTTTTAATTTTATTTGTCTAAATCCTCAATAAAAACTCAAAGCATACAGAATAAAAGGTGTTTCTATGGAAAGCAAAGCTAAAGTGGCCCAAGTAGTTAGTATTCCAAAATACTGATTCTCAGATATGGCAGTATATTGGAATCATGGGAGTATTTTTGCAAATACTGATGCTGGAAGATTCTATGCTAATCCCAGGAAGTTCTGATATAATTAGTTTGGTATGTTACCTAGGCATTAGATTTTATTTTAAGAGTGTTTTTAAAGTGGTGAGATGGAGCTCAGTTTTCTTATCTGTAAAATGGGATAATAGTAGTACTTATAGGGTTGTGTAAAGATGAAAAGGGATTCTGCCACATAGTAGCCTTATTACTCCTGCTATTATTAGTATTGTTTTTCTTGTTATTGCTATTCTTGCTGTCACCCATAAATTATATTACTGACTTCTACAGAATTCTTATTAACTATGAAACATCCAATTAAATTTCAATTGAACATAATTTAATCCTGTTTAGATCCTAGGAAACAATTCAGGATTTTGTGAATTCTGACATTATATTAACAATTCTTCTTAAAGAGTTGATATAGTTTGTTAGAGGATTGTAACATATATAATATTATTTTGGTAAGAACAATTCAATTGCGAACTAGGAAAGAGCTTAATTTAGTGCAATGTGTTTAGAAAAGAAATTTGACCTACTGAGACTCATTCAATAGGACAAAAATGTCAACAAACATAGTTGTTTTTAAAAGATCTAAGGGACTTTGATCACACCTCTCTCTCTTGTCATGTCCCTTATCCATAAATATGAATTCTGCTATTACAATTCATTTCTATGCACTATGCTGTGATTTCTTTCTCTAATTTTTTAACTTATTGATATTTTGTTACCGAAAGGATTTTAGGCAAGGAAAATAGGACCAGGAAAATATAACATAAGGAAGTCAAGACAGAGAGCACGACAACAGGAAAAGTGAAAAGAAACAGGAAGTAAGATTTTGACCCCAAACGGTGGCAGTGTGGCTTTACACACTTGAGATCTGCCACAGATTTGGCTTTGAGCTTGCTTTCAGTCCACACTCTGAACCTAAGTTATAGGTTAAAACACTCAAATTGTCGTTATGTACCCATTGAATCCATATGTCTGAGGGTGGGACCTTGCTGTTGCTATTTTTAAAAACATTCCCAGGTGATTTGAATGTACATCCAGTTGAGAGCTGTTAGCAGATACAAGGAAATTGTTCTGAAGAAGCAGAAATATTTCTGGTACCTGAGAAATGTTGATTCTAACATATTTTAAATGTTCAAAAATTCTTAATATCAATATTTGAGAGTAAATTTACTTATCAAATAGATTCCTTCCTAATTTTCTAGAATGGGGCAACATGGAAATATGTTCTCATTCTAGATCAGCTCTAAAGAAGACAGGATGGTAATAGAAGGGAAAAGAGAAAGATAAAAAGAATATGGTGTGGCCAATATTTTGGCCTTTTTTTAATGTTGGCTTGAGACAAAACAGTAACTTAGTGAAGATAAAATGACTATGTTCTGATTCCTACTTAGTCAACTGAATCACTGACTTATCGAAACTACCAAAACAGCTTTATAACTTTAGCTTTCAAGGAGTAAAAATAATTAATGAATATGTGTATATTATAAAATTGGAAAACATATATATATATATATATATATATATATATATATATACACACACACATGCATATATATACATATACATATATACACATACACACACACATATATATATACACACACACATAAACACACACACACACATATGAAGGAACTCTGGTGGCATAGTCCCTAAGGCATTTGACTAACCAGAAAGTTGGAGGTTCAAACCCACCAGCCATCCTTGGAAGGCAGACTGGGCAATCTACTTCTGTAAAGATTTACCTCCACTGCTTGGGAAACCTAATGGAGGTTGCTGTGAGTTGCAATTGACTTGATTGCAGTGAGTTTGTTTTTTTTGGTTTTATATATACATGTACATATACATGCATATACATACATATACATATATATACATACATATACACATATCAAAACCAAATTCACTGGCATCAAGCTGATTCCAACTCATAGCAAACCCCACTGGGTTTCAGAGGTGGAAAATCTTTATGCAAGTAGATTGCCCAGTCTTCCTTCTGCAGAGTGGCTGGTGGGTTTGAACCACTAGCCTTCTAGGTAGCAAGCAGTCAAGTGCCTTAGGCACTATGCTATCAGCACTCCATATATATATATATATATATATATATATATATATATATATATATATATGCACATACACACACACACATATGTAGTACACACACACACACACATATATTTTTTTTTGCAGGGGGAAGGGAAGATTGATGTTTCAGTAACAGTCAACCACAAAATACAAAGCCAAGTTTGTTTACACTGTGGTTTTTCTTTCATTTCAGATTTTTTACCATTTATGAAAAGTCTTTTATTCAACCCAGTGTACATGCTTTTCATACTCATAAGTGTGCTACAATTCAATGCATTTATTAATATGATCTCCTTTATGCCTAAATATATAGAACAACAATATGGAAAATCATCTTCAGATGCTATTTTTCTAATTGGTAAGTGTATTATTAGCCTGATTTTCTTCCATGATGTAGTGGGAGCTCTGGTGGTGTAGTGCCTAGGACATGTGACTGCTATACTAGAAGCCGGGTTGTTCAAATCCACCAGCCATTCCTCAGAAGGAAGACTGAGCAATCTACTTCTGCAGAGATACCGCCTTGGAAACCCAAGGAGGGGTTGCTATGAGTCAGAATCGACTTGACAGCAGTGAATTTGCTTTGGTTTGTGTAGTGAATAGCGTGGTGATAGGTCTAGGAACCTCTTAAACTGAAGTCTCTTAGTGTATTTCTGGCTCAGGTATATTTTCCCTATGGGAAAGGGAAGAGATCAGGAATATCCTTTTCGGTCAGAATACAAAATCATATTTGTAAAGATTTTGGAGAATGCAAAAATTAGGTAAAAATTTTAGAGATGCATTCTGTTTGTTTAAATAAGTAAAGAGGAGTTAAAGCAATAGGATTTCACATTTCACTCTCAGATTTGATTATTTCTGCTCTAATCCATTGATTCTTGTTTTCCTCCTAATTTAGTTCCCTTATCCACCTGGTGATTTTTAAGTGGCTGTGCAGCCACATAATTCTGATTTTCCTGTGACCACACTAACTCCAATCCAGTAGTTCTACCCATCTTTCCCCCCCCCCCCGGGGTATTTCTTTTTGACTATTTACAAATTCTGTATACGAATAACCTATGTTGTTGTTGTTGTTGTTGTTTGCCATCAAGTCAGCCCCGACTCATAGCGACCCCTCCTTGGGTTTCCGAGGCAGTATCACTACGGAAGTTGGATTGCCCAACCTTCCTTCCAAGGAGTGGCTGGTGGGTTTGAACCGCCAACCTTCTGGTGAGCAGTCAAGTGCCTTAGGCACTATGCTACCAGAGCTCCTAAATAGCCTATAGTACTTGTTAAAGGTCCATATTCCTGGGACCTAACTCATATATGCTAAATCATTCTCTGGTGTGGAGCTCTGGAATGGATTTTTAACAAGCTCTCCTAAGAATTTAATCCAGTGACCAAACCATGCCACTGAAAAAATGCAACCCTGGGTTGTCTTTTCCTTTTTCCTCCTTTTCTTGAGTGACCAGAAAGGAGAATACACTAGTCAGCAGCAGCAAGACATGTAATGTGAATATACTTGGCAACCAAAAGCTCGACAAAGTGAACCTTCATAGTATCCTAGAAGGCCCTGGGTGGTGAAAACTTGGCTGCTCAAAGGTTGGAGGTTTGAGTCCATCCAGAAGTGTCCAGGAAGAAAAGCCTGGTGTTCTACTTCCAGAAGAATCAGCCATTGAAAATCCCATGGAGCACCGTTCTACTGTGACACACATGGGGTCACAATGAGTTGGAATCAACTCAACAGCAACTAGTGTTGGTACCTTGGGCTGAGTCAGATTATTAACAACCATAGTAGGAATAAACAAATGTGAAACCCCATAAATGCGAAAAATTCCACCTCCATAGAATGGTAAACAATCCAGGCAGTCTACAGGTTATGAATGAGATCTATTCCTAAGTGTAGTTTTAAGTCAAATATTTGTAGGTAAGTCTGAACAAGTGCATATGGTTCTTATTTAGCCTTACTCTGCAAGAAAAGGCTCCGAATGTTTCCAACAATTTAAAAGCTACATGTGCAGCATGGGAAGGTGATTGTGATGCAGAATTTGTTTCGAATGGGGGGTTGGTTCAATTGTTTCAAAGTGAGGATGAATTTATAAGTAAGAGTTGTCTGTAAGTCAGACATTTGTAACCTGGGGACTACCTGTAAATTATTGATTTGTGTTGACTTTTCTCTCCTGCCTGGACCCTAAGAAAAGAGATATTGACTATGATCCTGGCAAAAGCATTCAACTGTATGGATCGTAACAGATTATGGATAACATTGAGAAGAATGGGAATTCCAGAACACTTAATTGTGCTCATGAGGAACCTGTACATAGACCGGAGGCTGTCATTAGAACAGATCCAGGGAGCACTGCATGGTTTAAAATCAGAAAGGGAGTGTGTCAGGGATGTATCCTTTCACCATACTTATTCAATCTGTATGGTGAGCAAATAATCCAAGGAGCTGGACTACATGAAGAAGAACACTGCATCACGATTAGAAAAGACTCATTAACAACCTGCAATATGCAGATGACACAACCTTGCTTGCTTGCTGGAAGTGAAGATGACTTGAAGCACTTACTGATGAAGATTAAAGACTACAGTCTGTAGCATGGATTACACCTCAACATGAAGAAAGCCAACATCCTCATAACTGGACTGACCAATAAGCAGCATCACAATAAATGGAGGAAAAAACTTAAGTTGTCAAAGATTTCATATTACTTGGTTCCACAGTCAACACCAATGGAAGAAGCAGTCAGGAAATCAGATGACATATTGCATTGGGCAAATCTGTTGTAAAAGCCTTCTTTAAAGTGCTGAAGAGCAAAGATATCTCTTTGAAGACTAACGTGCACCTAACCCAACCCGTGGTACTTTCAATCACTTGATATGCATATGAAAGCTGGACAATAAATAAGGAAGATGAAAGAAGAGTTGATACTTTTGAGTTGTGTTCGCTAAGAATACCAAAAGTACCATGGACTTCCAGAAGAATAAATAAATTTGTCCTGGAAGAAGTGCAGCCAGAATGCTCCTTGGCAGCGAGAATTGCCAGACTTCGTCTGACCTACCTTGGTCATATTGTCAGAAGGGACCATTCTCTTGAGAAGGATATCATGCTTGGTAAAGTGGAGGCTCAGCAAAAAAGGAGAAAGCCCTCAAAGACATGGATTGACATAATGGCTGCAATGATAGGCTCAGGCATAGCAGGGATTGTGAGGCTGTCACAGGACTGGGCAGTGTTGTACATAGGGTCACTATGAGTCGGAGCCGACCAACTGTACCTAACTGTACCACCTTGACTTTATGGGTATGTACATACAAAGAGCTGTAACATGTAATCAATAGGAATGCAATTAAACCATCCTTCTTCACTGTGAATTGGACCTATATAATTTATTATGTAAGTCATATTAGATAAAAATGATAGAATATTTGTTCCCTTGCTAATTCACTTTGAAAATAATATTTTACTTGCATTTACAGGTATTTATAACTTACCTCCAATATGCATTGGATATATTGTTGGTGGTTTAATTATGAAGAAGTTCAAGATTACTGTCAAACAAGCTGCCCACATAGGATGTTGGTTATCTTTACTTGAATATCTTCTCTATTTTTTGTGTTTTGTCACAACCTGTGATAATTCTTCAGTTGCTGGCCTAACCACATCTTATGAAGGGTATGTTGTTTTCTAATTAAAGCCACACCTTTTCAATAGTTAGTAGCATATATATATGAATTCATTTATTTTATATGTCATTTGTATAGTTATATCAAAGGCATTGAATTAATTTAGATCTTTCATTTTGAGGATTATTTAGGTTCTAGAAAGGCTTGCACAGTGATGCTAACTTTCTAAGTTCATTTGAAGGCCATATTTATGTAGTCATGTAATAAGTTAAAATTAAATGAAGGCACCCTAAAATGTTCTCTCCCTAAAATTACCAAAGAATATAAGATTGGAATAATTTTAAATACAAAAAGCATAAATTAATCTCATATTCATTGTCTGATTTGAGTCTTGTCATCTCTCTTAAAGATAGCTATTATTATTTCTATTTTATAGGTAAAGAAATTAAGATTCAGAGAGATTAAATGACAAAGGGAGTTCATGGCAAACCTCTTTACCCACATCTATATAGAAACTGAGAATATAAAAATGAAGATGATTTTAAAGATTGTCTAGTTCAATCATCTCCAATTATCCTGATTTCCAGAGAGACGACGTAACTTGAATAAAACCAAACTGCTCTAGTCATAGGCTTCATTTGATAATGGGAATGACATTTTAATCAAAGGACCATTATGAAGTAGACAATAAAAATAAATAATAATAAAAACTACTTTTGATAACTTTTCTGATTAATCCTCATAACAACTTTAAGGCACTAATTTTATTACTATCATTTTATGGATGAGAAAATGGTGTCAAAGAAGTTAATCACTTCACCAAAATCCCAGAGCTCACAAGAAGTAGAACATGAATAAAAGACACCTTGGTCTGACCTAGAAGTGACAATTATTTGGCTCTGCTTTGTTGTTTTTGTATATCTTCTTCTTTGTTTTAGTCTTTTGAGTATCCTCAATTTCTAGTGCTGGAGGATAGTTGATAGCTGAGCAATATCCCTCTAGCTTGTGGTATTTCAATAGTCAAGCCTTAGGGTAAATGTGATCTCATCAACAAAGAGGCCATACAATTTCAGAGTAAAAATTATAGCTAAAACCATACTGTATCTTCAAAACTCTGTTTGAAAGAAAGTGTTTAATGGACTTCAAAGACATACATTTGACGTGAAATGGGCCTAGCACTATCTTGCACAAATCTGTCCCTCATACTCTCTGATCTAATGTTGTTGTTGTTGTTATGTGCCCTCGAGTCAAACCCGACTCATAGCGACCCCTCCTTGGGCTTCCGAGGCAGTATCACTACGGAAGTAGGATTGCCCAACCTTCCTTCCGAGGAGTGGCTGGTGGGTTTGAACCGCCAGCCGTCTGGTTAGCAGGCAAATGTCTTAGCCACTATGCTCTGATCTAATACTAAATAGTAATTCCTACTTCTTGCTTCTCTCTAAATATAATCACAGGACTCCATTTTAGGCTATGAAAGTCCTAAGAAAAAGTAGTAAATATTTAAGGTAGTGGAAGTTAAAGTTTAGAAATCTGTGATCGGTGTTAGAAATATTTTATCAGATTTCTCTTTCTATGTTGTGGGAGGAGAGGAAATTAATTGGGGATTGAGATAAAAGGAAGAAAAGAAAATGGTTTAATAATTGTTCAATATCCATGACATCATTTTAATTATTTCAGAATGCAACATGATTTATATGTGGGAAATACTCTCTTTGCTGATTGTAACATGAACTGTAACTGCCCAATTAAAATTTGGGACCCTGTTTGTGGAGACAATGGTTTGTCGTACATGTCAGCTTGTCTTGCTGGTTGTGAGAAGTCCACTGGATCAGGAATTAATATGGTAATAGCCTATAGTCTTTTTTAACAGAGCTTTTATGTTGTATATTTGATTGATACCTTTCAGATACGAACTGAGCCTGCATTGAATAAAGTAAATTTAATTTTTAAAAATTAAATTATCTTTTTTTTGTAGGAAAAAAATCAGTTATTTTCTAGATACTCACTTGATTTGCCTTTTATTTCCTAGATTTCATTTAAAACCTTCATAGTTCTGAGTCCTAATATGTAATTTCAAAGCATTTTAGATTATTCAGAAAATTTAGGTTAAGTATACTCTCATCTGAAATATTTTGGTCATTGAGAGAAAGTTGGAAGTTTTGATCGCCATCTTTTTAATTTTGTTGAACATTATGTGAAAGTTTACATAGCGAATTAATTTTCCCAATCAGTAGTTCCTGCACAGATGAACATGACACCGATCGCAATCCCTGCAATGTATCAGCACTATCCCTACTTCCTCCCTGAGTTTCCCATTTCCATTTGTAGAGTTTTCCTGTCTCTGTTTCTAATGTTTGGTTTTGGGCAAATATTGTCCTATTTTTGTGTAGTTGATTGTTTTGAGAAGTACATTCTTCACGTTGCCTATTATTTGGCTGGAAAGTGGACACTGAGAGTGTTTCATTTTTAAGTTAGAAGGTTTTTCAGGGCAACAGTCTTAAGGGGTTCTTTTAGTCTCTTTCAAGCCATTAAGTCTAGTTGTTGTTATTATTATTATTTGTCTTTGAATTTTGTTCTACTTTTTTTTTTTTTTTTTAACCCATTCTAACTAGGACCTTTGGGAACTCTGGTATCATAGTGCCTAAGGCACTTGACTGCTAACCAGAAGGCTGGTGGTTCAAACCCACCAGCCATCCTCAGAAGGAAGCTTGGGCAATTTACTTCTATAGTGATACTGCCTAGGAAACCCAAGGAGGGGTTGCTATGAGTTGGATCTGACTCGATGGCACATAACAACAACAACAACAACAACAACCAAGACCTTCTATTATGGTCTTGGTCAAAGTGGTTGGTAGTAGGAGCCAGGCACCATCTAGTTCTGTGACCTTTTTTATTTTTGTTCTTTCTTTCTGTGCATATGTATGCACGTACTTTCTGTGTTTTTCACATTCTAATACATTTTATGAAAATAAAATTAGGCGTGTTTTCTTACCTCACAAATGTCACAATTCTTAAAATGTTGGTTGGTGTTCAGAATAAAATGTAAACTTTGATATTTATCAAGAGCTAGAAACATTCCACAATTCAAAAAGGTTGAATTTACTGTGTTCTAAAAGAACTAACAGATCTGTCCTGGAGGAAGTGCAGCCAGAATGCTCCTTGGAAGCAAGAATGGCCAGACTTCGTCTCACCTATTTTGGTCATGTTGTCAGAAGGGACCATTCCCTGGAGAAGGATGTCATGCTTGGTAGGGTGGAGGGTCCATGAAAGAGGGGGAGGCCTTCAACGAGATGGATTGACACGGTGGCTGCGATGATGGGCTCAAGTATAGCAGGGATTGTGGGGCTGGCGCGGGCTTAGGCAGTGTTTCGTTCTGCTGTGCATGGGGTCGCTATGAGTTGGAAACGACTTGACGGCACTTAACAGCAACAAAAGTAAACTATTTTTTGAAGCAAATAATAATTTGCTTCAAATATTAACATTTTAATGTTCTGTTGAGTGCTCTGAAGCACATTTTGTTTGCTGTGTTTATGGTTATGGCAAAATTGTTATTGTTGTTAGGTGCCATTGAGTTGGTTCTGACTCATAGTGACCTTATATACAATAGAACAAACAAACAAAACATTACCTGGTCCTATGCTGTCTCACAATGTGCAGGATAACATTTTTTTTTTTGGCATACCTTTAGGAAAGCTGAGTTATTATTGCAAATTTACTACAAATGTTTAGAAACAAACAATGTATATATTTTTCTGAAGCTATTCTTCAATATAATATTTTATGCTATAATCCAGAGAGACACCATAAAGGAGATGGGATAAAGGGTAGAAGCAGTCTCCATCTCAGTCCAACTGGCTATGTAGCAAATATTTGAAATTTACGTTCAAGAGTTTTTCTTCCTTAACTGTAATTATGCATTATTTTTTGACAGGTGTTCCAAAATTGTAGCTGCATTCAAACATCACTAAATTCATCTGCAGTTCTTGGGCTGTGTGACAAAGGACATGGCTGTGCCATGATGCTTCAGTACTTTTTAATATTGTCAGCTCTCGGCAGTTTTATTTATTCTTTAGCTGCCATACCTGGATATATGGTTCTCTTGAGGTACAAGATTTATTTTCATTGTTTTGTTAGATAACTTTCTGGTCATTTATTAAGGTTAGTTTTTCTAAGAAAGCCACTTGGAGCCTATGATGTCTAAGAATCTCTGGTGGTATAGTGCCTAAGGCACTACAGAGGTCCTGTTGACTTAGCTATTCATTCATCTTTATATCTCCATGAGAGTTGTAATTGGGTTTGTATGAAATCTACAGATTCATTTGAAAAAATCTGACATATTTAAATGAAATATATTCTGATTAACATTATTGCTGTTGTTTTAAGAAAGTTATGTGTCAGGTAGATAGTGCCCAGAACAGCTGTGTCTCACTTTAAGAGATTGTAGTATTGTTGTCATCCAACAAAATTCTTTGAAAAAATATTGTACAAAGAAAATGCCAATAAAATGATGTTTTTACTAAAAATATAGTGTATCCTTTTGTGAAGAGGAGCTGCTTTTATTTTCTCAGCCTTGAGTTACTCAGTAAAGATTAGGGGCACATAGGAGTTCTGGAACTGAATTCTTCCAACAAATGGCTATGTTGACCCTCAAGTATTTGAGACACTAAAAAGTGACATTAAGAAATTATGTTTTTAACTATACTCAGGAATTTTAGACAACAGTGAAAAGGTGGGGTGATTTTTGGATGGAATGTAGAAATCTCTTTGCAACTCTTAAAGTTAAAACAGATCAGTTAAAATAGGTTTGTTTTGGATTTTTCCATCAGTTTCCTTTTAAAAGTTTTACCCTTGATTTATTTCCTCCTTATATTTACTTATGTAAATTCTCAGGTTGTTTATATTTTGCTGATATAAATATGAATACAGCCAGAGCTGCAGTGTTCTTGCTTTAGGCTAAGGGTTTAACCATTAGAATCAAGAACAACTAATGACATTAGGAGGATACAGGAGTGGAAATTGGCTGATATGCATTATTTTCTTCTTCACCAACTTCCCGATAGAAAATAAACAAGCAAAATTGATAATGGTTAGATGTCACAGTCTAGAAATGGGACTTCTGAGTAGACTACAATCTGGATAATCAACCCCCGAACAACCAAGAACTGACTATGAGAGTAAAATTTTCTAACCTCAGTATTATTCCTACACATAAGTTCTGTTAACAGACTATGGTAGTTATTAAATATCTATTTTCTTTTATTTGTTTATTTGTTTTTCAGATGTATCAAGTCTGAAGAGAAGTCTCTTGGTGTGGGAATACATGCTTTTTGTACAAGAGTATTTGGTAAAAATATTTTCCCACCATCATATCATCATTATTGAATATTTGTAATGAAATCACTGTCTCAGAGTAACAGCTTAGCAAATATTTTCCCTTCTGCTTTGGAAAAACACTTTACAATTAGTGTGAGAATAAACTACAAAAAGAGAGAGAATTTTCTCTTTTTATGTTGAAAGGTCCTACCTAGCCGTTTGTCCACTTTTCAACCATTAGAAAACTTGAAAAGCAAGTGAACAGGAAATGCTTTGCTAAAATAAAATATTCACATGATTGGTCTAATCTTTGGAGAAAAAATATAAAGTTTAGAATATTTAATTCAAAGTTTTCTCTTGCAATAATTTTTAGTTTATTCATCACACCCTGTATCCTTTAAAATCTACAACCTTTACAAAAAATAGCAACCTCTAATTCTAAAAATAACATTTAAAGCATTAGCTGTACACTTTTCTAAACTTTATTTATTCTAAAAATAGAAAAATTTGAAATGTTTGCAAGCAAAATAAAGCATCTTATTTGTTATGTCGTTGATGGATTTTTGTTTCTCTCTTTTAATTGTAGCTGGAATTCCTGCACCTATATATTTTGGAGCTTTAGTGGACTCCACATGTTTACATTGGGGAACTTTGAAGTGTGGCGAGCCAGGGGCATGCAGGATATATAATTCCACTAATTTCAGGTAGAGATATTTATTTTTTTTTAGAACTGATTTCTAAGCAATAGACTTTATATATTATAAACCAAACTCACTGCCGTGGAGTTGGATCCTACTCATAGTGTCCCCTCCTTGGGGTTCCGAGGCAGTATCACTATGGAAGTAGATTGCCCAACCTTCCTCCTGAGGAGTGGCTGATGGGTTTGAACCGCCAGCCTTCTAGTTAGCTGTCAAGTGCCTTAGGCACTACCCCACCAGATTTCTCTCATATATATAATGTGTTGTTGTTATTGTTGTTTGCCATCGAGTCGGCCCCGACTCCTAGCGACCCCACCTTGGGTTTCCGAGGCAGTTACCACTACAGAAGTAGGATTGCCTAACCTTCCTTCCCAGGAGTGGCTGGTGGGTTTGAACCGCCAGCCTCCTGGTTAGCAGTCAAGTGCCTTAGGCACTATGCTACCAACATTTTCTTTTGTCAAGTGACTAGAATATTTTGACTTTATTTAAGAATGGATACTGATGCTTATATTACCATTCCTTATTAGACATTAAATGTACAGCATTGAAATAATTAATATAATCCTAAATATATACCACATTCCAGGTTTAAAAAGTATTTTAAATGAGAGGAAATGAACTGACAGAGAGTATTAAGGAATTTATCCACAATGCAGTACATTGATTTGAAGAGATTGGGGCGGGGGGGGGCAGGAAGAAGACATAAGAAAAGCCAATTAACAATGAAACAATATATCTAAGAGAATTTCCAGAAATAGAGAATGAAAGCCATGGCAGAGATAAATGAAATAATAGCTTAAGGTTTCATATAATTGAAGAGATAACCTGAATTTTCAGATCAAAAGGCCACTTCAAGTGCCTTGTAAAATAGATACAAGTAGATATGGAGACTAAAGTTGCAAAATCTCAGGGTAAAGGGGGGAGGGGAATCCTTAAAAGTTACCCTGAGAAAGAAACGAATTGCCTACAGTGAATTAACAGAGCAATAGTGTATAGCTCATCAAGACAAACAGATATTAATGTTTTTACGACCATTATGGCTTTGAGTTTGGTTTGAAATCCAAACACAAACCATAAATCAAGAAATGGGAAAATTTAAGTACATGTAAGATTTCAAATTTTCTGTAAAAGAAAGGACACTATAAATATGAATGATAAAACACACTGTGAGCCTCAGGAACTCTGGTACACTGGTGAGATAAACTGGCAATCTGCTTAAGTGAACTTTTGGGCAATATCTACAAAGTTGCAGACCCTAAGACCGTTACACATATTTAAGACAGAGGTTTTCTTACTTGAGCAAGAAGACAGGTGCAAAGATGTTTATTGAAGTATTGTTTGTGTTAGGAAAAAAATCAATGTAAATGTCTATCAACAGGAAACTGGTGGTATGCTCATACACTGGAATGTGAGACACTCATTCATTCACTCTCTGCCATTGAGTCTATTTGACTCATAGTGACCCCTCCTTGGGTTTCCAAGACAGTATCTCTACAGAAGTAGATGGTCAACCTTCCTTCCGAGGAGTGATTGGTGGGTCTGAACTGCCAGGCTTTGGGTTAGCAGTCAATTGCCTTAGGCACTATGCCACAGTAGTTAAATGAAGTAGAAGTATATTTTGTCACTATAAGTTAAAAATATTGAGCTAATATAGAAAGTTCTAGAATAAAAAGTATAGTGTTTAAAATTTGAAAACATATAAAATAATAGTATGTATTATAAATATATGCATACATACTTAGTACAACTATAAACTGCAAACACAACAACTGGAAGATTCAACATAGTGTTACATTCAGGAAAGTATAGAAGGAAATAGGACCCTGAGGCAGTCTATAGGGGGTCTTAAATGTAACTTTATGATTGTTTTCTTTTTTAAAAATGGTTTGAAGCAAAAATGGGAAGCTTGAGTGGTGAATACAAACCTATTTATTATACTTCTTATGTATACATGAAATGTTTCATAATAAAAGTAAATTTTGAACATAGAAAGATAAAAATAATGAAAAAGAGAAAATTAATAAATAGATTATGCACCATAGAGGTAATCAATGCAATAAAGAAGCTGTGTGTTTGAAAAGATTAAAGCATAACAATAACACAATCTGAAAAAGAAAAATCATGAAAGAGAAGAGGCAAAAATAAACACCATTAAGAATTAAAAAAAGAGAAGATAATGAGTATAGACACTTATGGATTTTGAATATAACAAGCTTCTAGACAACTCCTTGGAAGGAAGATTAGGCAATCTACTTCCGTAGTGATACTGCCTCGGAAACCCAAGGAGGGGTCGCTATGAGTTGGGTCCGACTTGACGGCATATAACAACAACAACAGACAAATACATATTACTGAATTTTACTATGAATTAATAGAAAAAATGAATATTCTCGCAGTCGTTTGAAAAAGCGTATCGATCAAAAATCCCTATCTCTCAAAGTTTCCAGGTTCAGATGCTTTTAAGGTAAATTTGACAAAATTTTCAGTGAACTGATGATACCTACATTATACAAGTTCATCCAAGAAATAGAAAAGGAAGAAAAAGTCCCAATTCGTTTTATAAAGCTATTATCTTTGTATCTTGATACTCAAACTGGAACATGTCAACATTAAAAAAAAAAAAAAACCCAAAAACCTATAGGTCAGACTTAGTTATATATGCAAAAATCCTTAATAAAAATTAGCGTACGAAATTAGTAATGTATATAAGAGAGAGTGCTGGGGTGCGATGGTCAAGCACTCTGCTGCTAACCAAAATGTTTGCAGTCCAAACCCAACCAGCAGCTCTCTGGGAGAAAGACCTGGCAATCTGCTCCCATAAAAATTAAACCAACAAAATAAAACAAAACAAAAAAACCCCTACCGCTGTCAAGTCAATTCTGACTCACAGTAACTGTATAGAACAGAGCTGCCCCATAGGATGTCCAAGGCTGAAATTTTTTTTACAGATGCAGACTGCCACATCTTTCTTCTACAGAGTGGCTGGTGGGTTGGAACCACCAACTTTTTTGTTAGCATCCAAGCACTTTAACTATTGTGTCACCAGCATGGTCCCCTGTCATACAAGGTTGCTATAAGTCAGAATCGATTCAACAACACCTAAGAACAACTGCAGTATATAAGAAATGACTAATCAGGTTTCTTTTATGGATGCAAGGATGGTTCAACATCAGAAAATATCTGTTAATGTAATATATTCTATTAACACAAGAAAGGAAAAAATTTAGATGCAGAAAAATGATTTGATGACATTTCAACGTTCATGATCAAAACTAAGCACACTCAGAACAGAAAGGAGGAACTTTCTTAGCTTGTTAAAGGCTATTATTATAAAAAATAATAATAAACCAAACTCACTGCCGTAGAATCAGTTCCGACTTATAGCGACCCCTCCTTGGGTTTCCGAGGCAGCATCCCTCTGGAAGTAGATTGCCCAGTCTTCCTTCCGAGGAGTAGCCGGTGGGCTTGAACCACCAGCTTTCTGATTAGCAGTCATATGCCTTAGGTACTATGCCACCAGAGCTCCCAAAACATAAGAATAAGTATCATAATTAATGGTGAGTTAAAAAACATTCTTATCAAAGCCTGGAATAAAGCTGTCAATAGTAAATTTAAATTGGAGTCCTATTCAATGAAAAAAGGATAAAATAGAAATAGCAAAGCAAGATTAGAAATGAAGAAACTGAATTGGGGTTTCTAGATGGAAAATCCAAAAAACTTTAGCAAACATTAGCATTAATAGAGAGTGCAGTGTAATTGTTCACTTAAGATCAACATGGAAAATAATGAACTGTTCTCATCTTTATGGGAATACAATATTACTATTTAGATATGTAAAGTTAGTTGATACTCATCACACTGCTTATGTAAGGTTTAATATGCTCTAGCTTTTTTTTTTTTTAATAGATACATCTACCTTGGGTTACCAGCAGCACTAAGAGGATCAAGCTACATTCCAGCCATACTGATTCTATTTATTTTGAGGAAGCGTCGTCTACCTGGTGAAAATGTCTCTTCAGGAATTGTCCTTGTAGAGACAAAGGTTACAGGGAAGAGCAATGAGTGCAAAGATATGCACCAATATTCCAAAGTTGTGAATGATGAAGACATGAAAACTAAACTGTAATGCCTTATGATATCATGCTCCCAGAGTTGAAGAACATGCTATACAAGTTAGTTGTTTTTAAAATCAGTAGTTATCTTACCTAAAGGTACTGTAGGATGACATTTTCCTGTCTTTAAGAAACTCAGAAGAAAATATTTTACTCATGGTATTTTTGAGGCATTGATGATACTTCCAATCTTCTTTGGAGGACATTTATAACAACCTTCAAATCAGGATATTAGAGCTGGTATTATTTTTATTTTAAAAAAGCAGTATCTTCCTTAACTCATGTAAAAATAAGGGCACATTTCCTACATCTCCGTTTCAAAATGGTTCTACAAGGTTCTTGTTATGAAAATCTGTTTAATCCCAGTAATGGTGAGTTAAAAACACCCATTGAATATCTGTTTTGATACTGGTATTATTCAGAGACTGAAATTCTCATTCTGCTTATGAGAAAATTTAAATATTTTAATTCAAATTTATCATTTCTATGTGAAAGATGCCAGGATCACATTGTATTTAGAAAGTGTTCTGTAAAGTGTCCTATTCATTCCTGACATGACTTTTGAAAAATAGATTAGTTATTAATATGTTCTCTCTTGCTTTCAGTTGTTTCTCCACATTATCACTAATATCCTGTATTTACTCATTTTGTTCAGAAAACTGACAAATTTAATTAGACTATTAAAAATCACATAGCAAGTATTGTTGAAATTTTTTTTTTCCTCTATTATTTCAACCCTGTGGTCTAAACTCTTCCTTAAATACAAATATCTGACACAAAAGATGGAAGGATAAAATTAGAACATTAGTCTATAAAAGTGGATTTTATATAGTATAAGATACTGTCCAAGATGACCATTCACAGATTAATGAGGCCTCTGTAGACCAATGTTTATGTCGTTTATGGCATTCTAAATTAGAACAAAAGCACTACTTTTTCTATAAATCTTACTAAAGAATAAAGTTTTTAAAAATAGCTTCTGCCAAGAAATTGAACTTAATAAAATTCCCAATACACAGATCTGCTCATGTCATTGGTTTGTAATTCATAATACAGTCAAAGAATGAAAGGATTTTAGAAGTACAAGAGGCTTACTGATTTGATGGGGCTTCTGGGTCAAGAGGGTAGACTGAACAGGCATGCTTGCATATTCCTTATTGCCCCTCCTTCTTCTCCAGCCCCTTTAAAGTGACAATCAATATGTGAAAATGATATAATACCTAATGGTGAGGAGAATGCAGGAAGGGAGGGCAAGGAAAGTGATTGGCAATATACTATGGTTTATGTATAATACAAAGAAATGAGAGTATCTTTGGAGGTAAACAGAGTGGAGGAAGCTCTAATCCAAAATGCACTTAGAAGGAACCTGGAATGTTGGTGGGGGTCTCTGAGTTATAGGTTCAAGGAATATGAGTTGGTAGCTATCCACAGTTGTTTTGCAGACCGACAATTTCTAACAGATTGGTTGTGTGAAATAATAAGAAAGTAATTTAGATGAAAAACACGAAATAGAAAAGGTTTGGAAGAAAAGATGAGGAGTTATATTTTAGACTCATGGAATTTGAGCTTCATCTCCGGGTATATTAACATAATCAAGACTAACACAGGAATAGTGTTAAAATGAGACAGGAGCTAAAATCTTTGGAAATGAGGAGTGTAATTCAGGCATAGGTATGATTACAGCAATGAATAGTAGTGAGTTATAATCTGACGACATGAAATTTGGAATTTTTTTTTTTTTGAAAGTGAGGATCAAGATCCTATTCTATATCCAGGCCGAATGCCATGAGAATAATGAGAGAAAGTAAATGGTCACCACAGCAGAAGGCTTCAGAGGAAGCTGTTTCCTCAGGAGAAATCTAGTTTTTGATTAGGGTAACATGGTGAACAAAATGCCCACTTACGATTTTGAAGATATAAACTTCAAACTCATGTGATGAAGGACTGAGTTCAAGAGAACAAATTGGATGAATTTCAGGAATAGAGAATAGAAAGTATATGGAAATTAGACTATACATGGCATATGGAAAGTGGGAGAAGGGGAGTGAGGTATAACCTGAAATTCTGGGGTTATTTAGGTCTCTGACATAAACAGAGACTAAGGACATAATGAGATTAGTACTGACAGATTCCAGGCAGATAGTGTTGGAGAGATGATGAAAGTCCAAATTAGGAGGGGTGATGACTGGGATTCCCTCATAACCTCTTGTCATGGAGACAAACTGGAGATACCCCATCTTACTTGAGCACCTGTGGCTCCTTCTCAGCTTCCAGTGATGGGCTTAAAGTGATCAGAGGAAATTGGTTTTACTCTGTGTAAAATTCAGCCACCCTAAAATGGAGGATGTTGTTGTTGTTATGTGCCATCGAGTTGGCCCCGACTCATAGTGACCCCTCCTTGGGTTTCCGAGGCAGTATCACTACGGAAGTAGGATTGCCCAACCTTCCTTCCGAGGAGTGGCTGGTGGGTTTGAACCGCCAGCCTTCTGGTTAGCAGGCAAGTGTCTTAGCCACTATGCTATCAGAGCTAGGCCCCAAATAAGATGAGTTTAGACCTAGTATCTTGGGATCACTCCTATCCTTCATGGAGGAGAGGACCTTTTACTCTGAGAATGCAGGACCCTCTCTTGATATTTATTGGTGAGAGGAAAGCAGGTCAGGGAAAGGGGGTCTTGGGGAATGCTTCCTGACCTCTGTTGTTGGAGTCCATGAGGTCTGAGGAAGATAGTTCTTCTGAGCTCTTTCACTCCTCATGACAGGGCAAAGGTAATGGCATAGTACATAGAAGAGAAATGACAGAACAGGTGGTAGAAGACATGAGTCACTCATTTTCTTATTTAATATTGTGATAGTATAAAGTTAATGGAATTAGAAATAGTATTTTACATATTATTTGTAATTCTAAATGTAACCAGTATTTACAGGAACTTAAAAATAGCCTGTGAGTTGAGAAACTAAATGAAAAAGAAAGGAGAAGAAATAACCATTTTCTTATTTTATGACATTTGGTTAAAACACATTTTAAACTAGATAACTCCTCAGAAGGAAGGTTGGGCAATCAACTTCCGTAGTGATGTTGTTGTTGTTGTTATGTGCCGTCGAGTCGGCCCCGACTCATAGCGACCCCTCCTTGGGTTTCCGAGGTAGTATCACTACGGAAGTAGGATTGCCCAACCTTCCTCAGAAACACAAGGAAGGGTCGCTATGAGTCGGATCTGACTCTAGGGCAGTGAGTTGTTTTTTTTTTAATGGTTAACTTAAGGTATAACATTATAAAATATTATTTAGCATTTTGCATGTTACTAAAAACAAAACTGGTTAAAGGTGGTTTCTTCTAGGGTATTAGACTAGTTATGAGGAGGGGTAGAGAAAAATAGTTTTGTCTTTTATTTTAGTTCTTTATTTACTCTTTGATTTTTCTTACCTCATATGCATTAAAGCATTATTAAAAATAACATTTTATAAAGGCTAATATATCAGTAAAAACAAATAAATAATTGAAGTAGGATAATGCACTTTACAAAAGGGGAAGATATTGATTCCCTAGTTAAAGTTGCTGAGGTGTTTATTAAACAATTATACACAATTGTTTTCTTGTTTCTATACTTAGCTCTTGGGCGTATGTGTGTCAGTGTCTGTATGTGAGGGGCCTGGTAACTAAATGTGTTGTAGGCTATAGAGCTCAAGTGGGTATCATTTTATTAGGGAGAATAAACACACACAGAAAAAACATAATACAAGGTAACTTCAAAACTTATGCATATGTCACGAGTCACTTAGTAATCAGAAATTTTTGCGTAAGCTTTCAATACAGGTCTTGATGGAGGCTAGGGAACTGTTAGCTGTGTCTTAGGTGGCCGCTTGAAAGCTTTTAAGACCCAAGTTGCTACTCACCAATGTGGGATGTGGAGCAAGGCTTTTATGTGCCAATTGAGTCTGGTGTCCCCAGTACTATGGCCCTGAGACAGCAGATCTATTGGATCTCTCTTCCATAGTGTCTGGTTGGTTGTGAGGGATTACTCTATGTCTGTCTTCTATTGTTTCTGTAAGGACTGCAGGTATTTTGTATCACTGGTTTCTGTGCAAGATTAGCCTCATCTGAATCTATTCTTGGTCTAGAATATACTTTTGTGCACTGACCCCTGTTTGATAATCTCAGGTGTTTATGTGTTTATCTGTAGCCTGATGTTTGGTGTTAATGGCAATGCAGCATTGTGGACACATTGGTTGATATTAGCATCTGTTGTATATCTCTTGTGTGCACAGTTTGGTGTTCTCCCATTTCCTAATGTTATCGTGGTGGTCACTGATCCTTCCCATATACCCCTCTCCCTATCCACATCAGTGTGTAGGCCCCAGCTAGCTCAAAATTAATCCCACTCCTCCTTCCCCATTCCGGTAACCTACTAAGTGAGTTCCCTTTCCCAAGCAAATCTTTCTTTGTCTTTTTACAGTAATGGGCTCATACAATACTTGTCTTTCTGTGATTGACTTATTTCATTCAGCATAATGTCCTTCAGGTTCATCCACGTTGTGAGATGATTTGTGTATCCCTCATTGTTCTTTAATGTAGTATAGTATTCCATTGTGTGAATGTACCATAATTTGGTTATCCACCCATCTGCTGATGGGCATTTAGATTGTTTCCATCTCTTTGCTATAGTGAATTGTGCTGCAATGAACATAGGTATACATGTGTCTGTTCATGTGCTATCTCTAACCTCTTTAGGATATATTCCTAGTAATGGAATTGCTGAGTCAAATGATACTTTTATTTTCAGTTAAGATAAAGCTTTTGATAAGATATTTTCCCTACTTTCATTCTTCCTTCCTGGACTGTGGATATTAGGCTTCAAGAAGCAGCAGTTGTATTGAAACCAAGAAGCAACCAGCATAGGGCTGAAAGATAACACATGAAGGGTGATTGTGTAGGAAGACTACTGGGCCTGGAAATATGATGCAGAACTAAGCATCTGTACCAGGAGAGGAATGGCTAGGTTTTGTGGTAGCATAGTGACTGCTAACTAGAAGGCTGGATGTTCAAACCCACCAGGCACTCCTTGGAAAGAAAGTTGGGCAATCTACTTCCATAGTGATACTGCCTCGGAAACCCAAGGAGGGGTCGCTATGAGTTGGGT